ATGCAGCCCTGTTGGGTAAAGCAAGCTCAGATCTCACTAGAAACCTCTGTGGGCTCCCCCCCCCCCAAAAAAAAAACCCTCTCAAATTCTTTGGCCTCAGCTGCACTACCAAGGGCTTCCACTTTATCTGCACTGCACACACTTGGCCAGTCATTTCCTCCTGACTTCTAGAATCTGTCCCTCACCAGTGTCTTTCCTCCAGATGTGTCTCTCTTTGGTCTACCAGGGGCCTCTTTGGGAAAATATCTTAGAATCCAGGAACTCTTATTTACTTATTTATTTTGGTGTTTTGAGACAGGGTCTCACTCTGTGGCCCTAAGTGGCTTGAAACTCCCTTTCTACACCAAACTGGCCTTGCACTCACAGAGATCCTCCTGCCTCTGCCTCCAGAATGCTGGGATTAAAGGTGTGTGCCGCCAAGCCAGCCCCCATTCCCCAGGAACATGTAAAGCCTCACTGTCCAGACCTGGCTGGAACTCACAGTGTAGACCAGACAGGCTTTGAGCTCAAAGAAATGTGCTTTCTATTGCCCCCTGAGTGCTAGGATTAAAGTTCTGAACTTGCCCAGAATTCCAGTAAATTTCAAAGTTAATTATATGAGAGACTCAGAGTTGAAATCTTGGGCCTAAAATGAAGAGGACCAAAAATCTAAATGTAGAGTTTTTCCAGTGAGCATCCATCAGGTCTTACAATTGTGGAGTACCTCAAAAGTGGCCATAGTGGCATATGTCACATACCTAGGGAGGGCCTCTGGCCAAAGACTGATCCCCTATTAGGCTTGGGGGGAGGACACACATGTGCCTTATATTGGTGGGGAGTAGGAAGTATGAGCAAAGCAGAGAATGTTCTTGACCAGCTGGAAGCTGCTGTCTTCGTTGAAAAGGAAACCATACTTTATTGCCTACCCATCCCCTTTTAGCAGCAAACAGAAAGATAAAGTTGTCACACTACAATATTTCCTCTTTTGTTTAGGTGGGTAGTATTTCAGCAGGACAGTGAGTTTGAAAAGTGCAATTTGAACTAAATATTCCTAGATGTTATAGAGAACTATGAAGATGGGAGAAACTTGCCAGGAGTTATGTGACTCTCCAAGGATAAAGTGAATCCCAGCAACCTGACCTAGGATTTAAAATGTAAAACTGGACTTTGTTTTAGGGATGCGATAGATCACTGTAAAAATGAAGAAACAGACACAGATTTCTCAGGAAGCCACGGCAGGTAGCAACAAAGCTGGGTATGAAATCAGTAGTCTGACTTCCAAGTCCGCACCCACAATCCCTGGTTGCCAGTGTGTATGATGAGCTTACCATTCTTTTATTTAGAAGATTGCATGTATCTCTGTTACTGTCTGATGTGGGCTTTGGGGACAATGTTGATAACGTAAGAGTTAATGACTTTGTAATATCCAAAAACTCAGGCTTCTTGCTCCAAGAGCAAGCTTGCCAGTTTGATTTATCAGCACCTCTAAGATGCAACACATTGGAACAATCAGGACCTTAGTGAGGAAGGCAATCCCTCTGTGTCTTGTTCAAAAGACTTCCTAGAATCCATTGACTGGGGCTACATTCCAGGCTCTTGCAAGAGAGGGGAAGGCTGGACAACCTACCAGTTGGTGGCTTGTTGAAATGAAGCTTTCACATCAGTTTCTCACTAGAAAGGCTAGTGAACGGGCCCTGCCTCTATGGAGTTTATAGGACAGATTTTGCTCAGGACTGCAGCACCATTTCAATCGGCAGAGTAAGACGAGGGCAATGGAGGAGTCTGACCAGAGAACGAAAATTTGAGTAGATCCTGGATTGAGATAGACTATAAACAGTTACCAAAAGCCAAAGCATAGCACCAGGAAAGGATGTGGTGAGGATCAATACAGTTCAATACTAGATAACAGTAATTCTTGGTAAAGGCCAAAACCAAGTAGTGATAGTCAGATGTCTTTGTTTGGTTGTTTGATTGGCTTTTGTTTTTTTGAGACTCTGTAGCCTTGGCTGTTCTGGAACTTGCTCTGTAGACCAGGCTGGCCTTGAACTCACAGAGACCTGTCTCTGCCTCCTGAGTGCTGGGATGAAAAGCATGTGCTACTTTTGCCCCACTGTCAGCTGTCTTTTGTACACAGAATTGTGGAACATACAGTTTCATTTAAGGGGTCAGGGAGGCTGTTCTCTGGAAGGTGGCTTCTAGCACTGGGACAGATTAATAACCAGATCTGATGAACAAAAAGCCAATCTGCAAACCCGCCTGAGTCCAAACAGATTTCCATTTCCCCTCACTCCCAGAAAACAGGTAGCCCTCAGATCTGTGGTCTACTCTGGAGAAACGAGGGTTTGGGGCAGGGCAGGGAAGACCTGAGCAGTAGACGGTAGCACAGGTGGTCCCTCTTTTATCAGCACGTTTTTAATGTCAGGTGGGCTACCTGAAGTAGTAGCCTACAGTCCAAACAGACTGTTTGTTGGTCTAGCGGCCTGCCAGTATTACTGAAGGGTTTGATTCCTTTTAATCTCACACAATACTTCTGAATCTTTGAGCTTTTTCTCCTACCCTTATTTCCAGCCAGGATCAGGAAGGCAGCTATCCGGTCAACCTTAAGTCAGATTTAGCTTTCAGCAGTTTTGCCATAAGAATCCCTTGAGTCTGGGTCTTGACCCCAGATCTTGGTGTATAGATAGCTCTCGAGCCAACCACCAAAATATTGCTGTGCACCGGCAGCAGGGTTTATCATGGTGGCAGCTGTGAGCAACCTAGCTGGGAGGGGGCTCTATGTTCTACAGGATAACCCGATGTGTGTCTTACTTTCAAAAAATGGAATTACAGCCGGGTGTGTGTGTGTGTGTGTGTGTGTGTGTGTGTGTGTGTGTGTGTGTGGTGGTGGTGCATGCCTTTAATCTAGCACTTGGGAGGCAGAGGTAGGTGGATCTCTTTGAGTTCGAGGTCAGTCTGGTCTGCAGAGCTAGTTCCAGGACAGCCAGGGCTACACAAAGGAACCCTGTCTCAAACCCCACCCTCCAAAAAGATGGAATTACTACATTGAGATGCATCGAATTCCCCATCCTCCCCAACTGGCAGAATAAAGATGCCTTTCTATTTCTTCACCTCTGATGCACCCAGAACAACATCATAGTGTTGCACAAGGTCCTTCCAAAAGTGGCGTGGCTTGTCAGTGTCTAGGCAAAGCATGACCACATAACAAACATCTCCTCCTCCCAGTCAAAAGGTTAACAGGCCACTAGCCCATGAAGAGATGGAAATTCCTTCTGAGCAGAACAATGTGGTTGCCAGATCTTCCACATGGCTATAGCAATGGGCTTGACTATGCATATTATATTTGGGCAAGAATATGAAACATCCCTTGAAGGGCTCCATTCAGGACTGGTGCCATGAGAAAACCATGGCAAGCACTTTTCACAAGGATCCAAAACACTGTGCTGGAGGACTCATTTTTTGTGGGTTTAAGATAGTTTAAAGGTTCAGTAAGTCCTGTCATTAACCAAGAAACAAATAAAAAAACCCATTTATATTTCCCTTATAATGTCCTATAGTTTTTCTTATAAATTTAATATTTTCATATCCAGCTCTTTACAACATCCCTTTTTGTATGTGTGTCACATGAAGCATTACAGGGATTTTTTTAAGGGATACTGTATGTTCTAGATTAACCTGTTATATTTATTCATTCTGCAATTGGTTACGAGTTCAAGGTATATACACTCATGGGAACCAGAGATGATAAAGGTCATAGGAATATGTTTCTTCATCTGAGTTGACCTGCTGTCCACTTAGGAGATATATGCAGATCGTATATAAAAATATACAAACCAACAGGTGAAAAGTGACATATAAGCAATGTGACAAGAAGAAAATAAAAGGCTGTTTGGGGGAGGGAGACATGGGCACAGAAACCAACTTCTTCCACCTGATATAGAGTTTTCCTCAGTGTGGTTTAAAATTGGCCTATAGGGAGAGTTAAGGACCATAACCATCATTCAGTTATAATGAGCAGAAAATCTCCTTAATCATATTAATTTATAAAAGAATGATAGCACATGCCTTTAATCCCAGCACTTGGGAGGCAGAGGCAGAGGTAGGCAGATCCCTGTGATTTTGAAGCCAGCTTGATCTACATAGCAAGTCCAAGACCAGCCAGAGCTACACAGTGCTGTCTCAAAAAAAAAAAAAAAAAAAAAAAAAAAAAAGGAGGATGAATGGATGAATGGGTTGATATTCATAAAGCTTAAGTACAAGACTTGATTCAAAGAGTAGATAGTCGAAAGTAATCTAAACCGTAGCAAAAGACAAAGGGCAGCACAAAGACTATCCGTGTGAGCTACTAATGGTGAAGCCATGATCTCCCACACAAGGGGGGACAATGGCCCAGTGAAGGAAGAGAGACTTTGAGTATCTCCCGGATGACTGACTGGTCAAAGCCATGCCTGCAGTGTGCTACCCTTCAGATCAAAACCATAACGGAGCTGGGTATAATATCACACCCCTTTAACCTCAGCACTCAGGAGGCAGAGGTAGGCAGAAAGTTCAAGGCTAGCCTGGTCTAGTGAGTACCAGGCCAGCCAGGGCTACAGGGAGAGACCTGTCTTAAAAAAAAAAAGGGTGGGGGAGGCAAATTTAAAAAATACATATGTGTTTATAAAATAAGGCAATGGAAGAATATGCTCTATTGTGGATTCTTATTTTAAGATCTGTTACATTGTTTTTTATGCTGTGGGATATTTGTTTAATGAAAGATGTGTTGCATTTTTTTATGTTGCATTTGTTTAAATCTGTAAAGCTGTGTTATTTTGCCTATTTTAAAACAACTGATTGGTCTAATAAAGAGCTCAACGGCCAATAGCTAGGCAGGATAGAGAAACAGGTGGGGCAGAGAGGATAAATAGGAGAAATCTAGGCTTGAGAGAAGAGGGAGAGGAGGATGCCAGGGGCCAGTCAACAGCCAGCCACGGAGTGAGAAGGAAAAGAAAGATATATAGAATAAAGAAAGGTAGAAGTCCAGAGGCAAAAGCTAGTTAAAGAGAAATGGGATAATTTAAATTAGGAAAGCTGGCTAAAAAGAAGCAAGCTAAGGCTGGGCATTCATAAGTAAGAACAAATCTCCATGCATTTTTTCAGGAGCTGGGTAGCAGGCCCCCAAAGACTAAAAAACAAACAAAAAGAACACCACCTACAATACTCAGTCTATAAATGTGGTGACCCAACAGGGAAAGGGGGGGACGTAAAGGGCACAGAGATGGATGCCATGATGCCATGAAGAACAGTAAATCAGGGAGGGGGTATGAGTGGGGGCAGGGCTTCAGACAGAGTGCAGGTAAAGACCTGAGCAGAGAGGCAGTCAGGACCAGAGATCTAACCAGGGCCTCTCTCGGGCTCAGAAGGTGAGTTCTACCACTGACCCACACTCCCAGCATCCACCGGAACATTGGAGACGAGGAAACAAGTTATGTCGGGGAAGGGACCATCAGCATCAGCAGAACAGCCGACCTCAAAGTCCTCAGCCAATAGCGTGTTCCCCTAAAGGAAAAGCAATGTTCACAAGGCTAACCTGGAGTTGGAGGGAAGGAAGTTAGGCCGATGAGAAGGGAAGATCCTATGGGACCCCTCAGGCAGTAAGATGACAGTGCCAGATTCTAAGGGTGCTTCTAACAGACCCTAATTTACATTCTGACAGGATTCCCCTCTTCGCTTCTTGGATGTTTGCCACTTTCCCTGTTCTCTTCTCCCCCGTCTCAAGCCCTCTGCTTACTCGTGATTCCCTTGCAAGCATCAGCTGGCACGTGGCTTTTGGTTTGGTGGTGCAGCAAGGGTTGACATTTCGGCTCATGCGCCTGCTGTGATCTAATCGGTTAGCCATCCAGTGTTCTCATTCCAGGTTCCTGGGTGACATGATGTTAGCCCCACATGTGAGCAGGCTGAGTCATAGTAGTCCACTGCGGTATCATCAACTGAGGTCAGACTCAGAAGAAAGTCAAAACCGCAGGCAGCATTTCCCAGAGTGCGCATGGGCAGACAGGGAGTAGTACATCTGCTTCAGCAGATGCCTCGGCATCTTCTCCACAATATAGGGTAGTCAACACCTCCGGCGGATACAGGTGACCTGTAGCCCTTCTGCACGGTCATGCTCAGGGAGCTCCTAAGGGTGATAAGAATGGTAGGTGACGGTGGCTTTAGTAGAATAACTATGACTTTATTATCTGCCTTTTGTCCAAGATCAAGGGTTAATTATGGCTTTCTAGCAAAAGCAGGGCTCTAAAGCTGTCTGTGGTAAGGCCTAGTTGTTTTTTTTTTTTTTTTAATTTATATTGCCCATCTACACGTGAGTGATTTTTTTTTTAAAATAAAATACACTAAAATGAAGTCCCAGGAAATTAAATGTAAAAACGTAGATATAAAATGGACCTGACTGTTTTACAGTTAGCTTTGACAGTGGATTAGTTACTTGACATATCGCTGGAAGACTTTACTCGAGGAAGGAATGATCATTTGGCTCACAGTTTGAGGGAACTGTCCATCACAGTGGGGAAGGCATGGTCACAGGAGCCAGAGGCTGCCGGTCACACTAAAACCACAGTCAAGAAGGAAGGAGCAGTGAAGCCTGGTGCTCAGCTCATGGCCTCCTTTTGTTCAGCCCAGGACCCCAGCACGAGGAATGCTGTCACCTATAGCTGGTGACCTCCATTAATCCTGACTGGATACTGTACAGACATACCCAGAGGTTTGTCTCCATGGTAATTCTAAGTCCCATAAAGTTGACAATCCAAATCAACCATTACAGATGGAGACGTGCCCTGTCACATCCCTGTACTAAGTACTTAGCTTGGTTTCTGCTCTGATTGCTACACTTTAAAATGTACTGTACTAAATCTTACCACCCCAACACTTAAATTGTCCAGCAGTGATAACCGACGGATAGCATTTCATGTTCCGAACAAGCACCGTAAGGAACAAGGCCTTGTGACGTCATTGTACTTTTCTAATGAATGTCTTACACGTAGTCCAAATGGGCTCCGGTGGAAGGACCCTGTTTTCTCCCTTGAAAAATAGTTCAAACTTGTCCTGTTTAGATTCTCAATCATAGGTGAGCTCTCCTGCCAAGTTGGGCTAAAGTAGCTCCTATTTTCTCCTAGGTTAGAAACAGATAAGAGAGGGGCAAGTAAAAAACAAAACAAAACATTATGGGAGTTATCTTTATAAATTTCAGGGACAGACAGACAAAGAAAAAGCATCAATCGTCATTGATCGGGGAGGAGGCACCTAAATGCTCAGTCTTCACTGAGGTTTGCAATCTTGGTTCTGCGACTGATAGAGAACCCTCTTCCTAAAGCTGCAGGCCTTGGAGTGTCCACCTGTTCTCGATTCTCTATGAAGTGAATTCACTGATCCAGGTCCACACGGAACGGCTTCAGCACAGAAGACAACATGTGATACCTGCAGAAACAATAAACACGTCATTGACTTGTTTACACATTCTCCTGCCACAGCAATGAGTCAGAAGTCATGCAGCTTATTCCGGGGACCTTGACCTCTGTTTTGTAAGATGGTGTGACCTCAGTTTCCAGAGAGGTCTGGCTCACCGGAAATTCAAATTCACCTACGATTATCATAAAAACACCTGGAACGGTTTGTCAGGGAGGCACAGTGTGCTTGCTCCTAGTGTTCCATGGTTTGCTTTTATCACCAGAATCAAAATACCGTAGAGTCCTCTATTTAGGAAAAATGTGGGTTCCACCCTTTGCCCAACCTACTCTTTGAAAAACAAACTGGAAATAAAAAAACAAGAAGCTATTTTTAGCAATTATTTCAAAGCTGTCCTTGCCAAGAATTTAAATTGTTCTCCATGCTGCCGTGTGAAACACACATGAATGCTGTTTTCCAAATTATCTTCTAGAAAGTAAATCATGTTTTTCTCAAGAAAAGTAACTAAAGCTAGGTGTGGTGGGGCATGTCTTTAATTCCAGCACTTGGGAGGCAGAGGCAGGTGGATCTCTTTGGAGTTCTATGAGTTCAAGGATAGCCTGGTCTTCACAGCAAGCTTCAGGCTAGCCAAGGCTACATAGTGAAACCTTGTTTCAAAAAAAAATATGTAGCTATAAATAAGTGAAGGTTCGATAAAATCCAAATTGACAAACATTCAACATTCCATGAATTCACTTGTAAACCATGCTGACCTTAACTGCTATAGCTGTTCTAGAAGGTACCATAGCACGAAGCTGTCCCTGGGGTAGGTAGGTGGCTATTTTGTCCACTCAGTTCTTCTGACCTCCTTACTGGGATATTTCTCCACAGAACATACATTTGAGAGCAAGGCACAGCCCGCTCTGGTGCTGGGTAACTCTGTCTAGGGTGTTTTTATGGCAAGCGCTGGAGATAAACATAAAACCTCACTGTGGAACAAGGAATGGATTTGGTTACTAGCCACCATAAGGATAAAGTCTCCTGCAGGGCACATATCAAGTATACTTGTAGACTATTAAGAAAGATTTGGATTTGGGGGTTTCTCTCACTTAACACACACACTGAGAATACAAGCTCTTCCTGTCAGCCTGGGAGAACTGGAGTTTGTAACCAGTGGTAGTTTAGCTAACTAATAAGGCTAAACTAAATTCTTTGTACAGCAGGAAACTTGTGCCTCCTGGCCGTTTTGTGAAACTAGTACATGCTGCCTCACTAGCTTGCAAGTGGGATAAACCTCACTTACTGCAATACAGCAGGGAGATTCCCTACCTTCCTCTAGTTCCTGATTTGAATTCTTACATCAGTCACACCAGAACCCAGCCCCATTTGTCTGCCTAACACAGCCACCCTTTTATTCAGGCTTCCTGGAAGTCCATTACTAGTAACCGAAATAGTCCCAGTACAGCCGGGCAGTGGTGGTGCATGCCTTTAATCCCAGAGGCAGGTGGATCTCAGGGAGTTCGAGGCCAGCCTGGGCTACAAATCGAGTTCCAGAATAGCCAGGACTGGTGCACAGAGAAACCCTGTCTCAAAACACCAAACCAAACCAAAATAACAAGGAAGATAGTCAGAGATGTCTGTAGCTCAGTGGTAGATGTTTGCCTAGCATGTGAATTGCCCTGGGTTCAGTTTCCAGTACCAAAATACATACATACATACATACATACATACATACATACATACATACATCTCTCTCTCTCTCTCTCTCTCTCTCTCTCTCTCTCTCTCTCTCACACACACACACACACACACACACACACAGTAGACACTACTTTTGGTAGAGTAGGAAGGGGAGATGACTAACTTCGATAGGTGTGCCATGGCAACAAACACACACACACACACACACACACACACACACACACACACACACAATTGTTGCTACTCTATGGCAGATGGATAGAGGAAAGCATACCTGGAAGTATAGGGGCAGCATCAGGTAAAAAGTCATTACTTTGTCCACAGGAGAGTTGATGGGACCTGAGATCTTGTGGTGGAGATGGAGAAGGTGGATTCCATGCTGAGGGATGAGGCAGTGTGTGTGTGTGTGTGTGTGTGTGTGTGTGTGTGTGTATGAATATATATATATGTATATATATATAGAGAGAGTTATAGTTCCTTTTAAATTCTCTGTAGTCAGTCCATTGAATAGACCACAATCTATGTTTCTATTATAATCTATTATTATTAATAGAAGACATAAAGCAATAACGCTGTGAGCACATCTTTGTGCACATGCACAGGAGTTTCTCCAGTTCGATACCCACAGATGGAATGCCAGGGTCCCATGGCATACGCATCTTCAGATTAACCAGACTGTCCTAGTGAGTCTCCAAAGTGAATATGTCCTTTATATTTAAGGAATCAGTCTGTAGAATATTCTGATGTCCATGATTACCATAAACAAAATACTCAAATACTAGATAGAAAAGTTGCCAAGAAAGTTGACAAAAACTGGGAGTTTAAACAGAAATGCCAAGTCAGCCAAACCTGCCATTTTATGAATTCTCTTGTAAGGACATGCCACATTCCTCTCCTTTCAACTGTCCTTTACTTTGAATTCCCAGATCCTTTCTGAAAAAAGAAAAAAACAAAAACAAAAAAGAAATAAAAAGTGGTACAGGTCTATAAAAGTTGACATTTCTGAATTTTTTTTTCCAGACGTGTGAACCATGCTGCCTCTGTTTAGATGTAAAATGTCCCCCACAGGCTCTTGTGTTTGAAGAGTTGGTCCCTATGCCGTGACACTGTTTTGGAAGGTTGAGAAACCTCTGGGAGGTGGGGCCTCACTGTAGGAGGGGGGTGGATCTTAATGTTTGTAGCCTGTCTCCAAAGAGATATAGGCAAGCAGCCTCACATACTGCAGCCTTGAGTGGCTGCCACCACCATGCCACCCTGCCATGACAGACTGTATCCTCCAATCATGGTCCATAGATCCTCCCCTCCCTCGGCTGGTTCTCCTCAGGTATTGGGGTCACAGTCCTGAAAGAAGTAACTAATATGCTTCCTGCATTAACATCACTACAGGTTTCTCCCCTGGCAGCTTGAAATGTGCTGTTTTATTTCATTTTCAACAAAAGAATATAAAGACTTCAAACTCTGTTTCAGATAGACACACATGTATGATACAGAGACACACATCTAAACTCAAAGCTTTCTCATTGGAAATTTGCAAGTTGGTAGAGTGAATTGGTAAGAAAACAAGTCTGGCATATGACGTTTTGCTCAAGTTGTTAGAGTATGTAAGTGCATCTAATACTATATAGGTCTGCATGCATATGAAATTAGGATAAGGGGCCAGAGAGATGGCTCAGTGGTTAAGAACACTGGCTGCTCTTCCTGAGAACCCAGGTTCAATTCCCAGCACCCACATAGCAGTTCACAACTGTCTGTAGCTCTAGCTCCTGAGGATTCGACACCTTCACACAGACGTACATGCAGGCAAAACATCAGTGCACATGAAATAAAAATATATAGAAATTTAAAAAAAGAAAATTAGGATAAATAAAAATATGAGCTAGGGGTGGAGCGACTACTCTGGGTTTAAGAACTCTTATTGCTCTTCCAAGAGGACCCAAGTTCAGGTCCCAGCACCCGTGACGGGAGGTTGTAACTCCAGCTCTAGCAAATCCAACAATCATTCTCTTCTGACCTCTATGAATGTACACACACACACACACACACACATACACACACACACACGAGAGAAAGAGAGAGAGAGAGAGAGAGAGAGAGAGAGAGAGAGAGAGAGAAAGAAATAGAAATAGAGAGACAGAGACAGATGTTGGAAGGTGTGCTGGCTAGTTTTTATTTTATTTTATTTTATTTATTTATATTTATTTTTATTTATTTATTTATTTATTTATTTATTTTATTTTATTTATTTATTTATTTTTTCCGCGAAGCTGGGACAGCAGGAGGAAGGGTGAGATTTTAGCTCTGAGCTCTGACCTCTCGGCTTTCTCTTTTACATTGGTTCTGTGTTTCTTATTTAATAAGACAGTTGGTTACATCTACATTTGGCGTGTGTGTATCGGAGTAACAGGTGGTTGTGAGCCACCTGATGTGGGTGTTGAGAACCCAGACCAGGTCCTCTGAAAGAACAGCAAGTGTTCCTAACTGCTGAGTCATCTGTCTCTTCAGCATATAGTTTTTCAAGACCCAGGAATCCAAGGTTTATTTATTTAAATCTTTTTAATTGGCTGGAGAGATAGTCATGGGTACTGGGAACCGAACTCTTATATTTTTGGTTGTGAGCCTAACCTTTAACGGCTGAGCTATCTCTCCAGCCCAGGAACCCAAGTTTTTAAGCGTAGCTCTCCACTCTTGAAAGTTGGAATGCACCCAGCTGAATAAAAGCAGCCGCAACACCTGTGCCAGTTACTGGGGTTGGGAGGGGCCGGCCGTCTGGCTTGTGAGCTGCCGCCTTGGCCCCTTTAAGGAGAATTTTGTGGTGGTCAACTCGATTCCCAGGCTTGCAGAATTCATGATGCAGTGTTGAGAAACCCGAGAAGGAGTAACAAGATCTGGGAGATGAAAGGAAGAAGGAAGGACCCAGCCAGGCGCTGTAAGAAGGCAGTGCTAACAGGGAGCCAGGGCAGTGGGGGAGGGGAGATGTAAGAGAAAAAGAGGTACAGGCGCTGGGCAGTCCGGGGGGGGGGGGGGGGGGGGGGAAAAAAAGGGGGGGGGGGGGGGGAGGGGAGGACAGACACGAGGCTGGGGGGATGGCGGAGGCGGGGGGAGTGCAGAGAAAGAGGAACAGTGTGGCCGAGCACAGCTCATGAACGGGATTCCCTTTAATGCTCGCCGGAGGAATTCAGGACTGGAACTTGTGGAAAATACGTTTTAGGCGCTGGAGAGGTGGCCCAGTGGTTATATGCCTGCCACTCTTCTAGAGGACCCCAGTTCAGTTCCAAATACCTGCTGCAGCTCACAACTACCTGTAATCCCAGTTCTAAGGGATCTGGCCTCTAAGGGCATCCACATACACTTGACATTCACTGCCACGGACACATATATAGACAATAATATAAACATCTTTAAAAATACTTTTTTCTTAGGAGGCTGAGGCAGGAGGATTGCCGTGAGTCTGAGGCCAGGTTGGATTACAGTATGAGATCCTGCCTTGGTAAATGAATAAATAAAATTTTGGGAGGATGCAAAATGGGGCTTTAAAAATGCGATTCCAGGGGTTAAGAGCATAGGCTAGTCTTTCAGAGGACCAGGGTTCAGCTAGATTCCCAGCACCCATAGGGCAGCTCCTGGTAACTCCAGTCCCAGGAGATCTGATGCCCTCTACTGTCCTCCACAGGTAATGCAGGCGAAGCAAAACACGTACATAAAATAAAAGATAAAATTAAAATGTGATTCTATATGGAGTCTGCATCACTTTGGGTCCTGGTGATTCCTGGAAACAGGATTCTCAATAATGGGCTGTTGACACAGCTGGGGAATTTATGAGAGCAATCATTGCTGATTGGAAGGATCTTGGGTACATCAGAAAATTACTGGGAGAATTATAGGGAGGCTCAGAAGGTGAACAGGAGCTGAGGGGACCAGGTGATCAGGAACCCAGAGCCGGGTCATCTGACTGGAACAGTGTGCCTGCCTTGTGAGCACACGATGCACACTGTCACCCTGGCTCAGCTTTCCTTGTTGTTACTCCGCTGGATGGGGAACACCACCACCAGCAGCAATAGAATCAATGCTGTGTGACACTGTCTGAGTTTCTTTTTTATCAAGGCTCAAAGCCCTGAGTGGGATGCTTCTAAATGGTGACCTTAGGTCACATGCTTGTTCCCTCACTGTGAGGAATCTGGGGAACAAGTGTCCGTTATTTTTAGCTTCCTTAGTGGGAGGTAAAAACCTGCCTCCTGCCAAGAGTCATGAACTAGGGACTTTCTCCAACAGGAGACTGTTTGTATTACCAAGCATTGTGTAGCTGTGTATCTACCACAGGACCTCAGGAGAAGTCATGCCCAATGGTAAGGATGGTCTGGAATGGCCAATATCCGTCAGAATAAGATACTTCATCACCACCACCACCACCATCACCGTCATAATTATTGGTTTTTTGAGACAGGGTCTCTTTGTGTAGCCTTGGCTGTCCTGGAACCTGTACACCAGGCTGGTCTCAAACTCACAGAGATCCTCCTGCCTCTGCTCCTGAGTGCTGGGATTAAAGACCTGTGCCACCACTGCCAGCTAAAATACATTATTGTGGGGCAACAACAAATGACTTGAAAAGGCCAGGCACATCGTCAAAGATGTATTTCAGGTCATGTCATTTGCACATTTTGAATATTGACTTCACTTTGGGTGCTTAGAAGCCCCTAGAATATTACTGATCTCATAACGGGGGGGGGGGGGGGGGGGGGAGGAAAAGAGAAGGAGGCATTGCAAGTCACACTCTTTTTTTGAGCTTCTGTTGGGAAGTGATGACCATAACTTGCTTGCGTATTACTGCTCAAAATAAACTAGGCAGCCAATGTGATTTCTGTGTCACTGGGAAACAGGACAACACACCAAGAAGAAGCCATCTGTATTTTTGAGTAATAATAAGAGAAGGGCAATTATTATATTTGGAAAAGAATAAGAATGCGCGCACGCGCGCGCACGTGCACACACACAAAATGCATGCTCGTGTGCTTTGAAATAAGTCTTATGTACCTCAAGCTGATCTCAACTTGAACCCATTATATAGCTCAGGTTTGAACTCCTGATTTTCACTGTTACCTCTCCAAGTGCTGGGATTATGGACAAGGACCAGCATGCCTGCAGAATGGTATCTTGACTAGACACAATCACACTTCAGTCATCATCAAGGAGGGAGAGACGGTGTGCTAGGTAGTGGGACGGAGAAACTCAGAGGCAAGAGACGGGATGGTGCTTGAGTGGCAGTTAAAGTCACTGGCTGCTCATGGAGCTTGACGCTGCAGGTAGGGCTAAGGAAAAAGAACAGTGCTGGCTGGGGGGTGGTAGCACATGCCTTTAATCCCAGCACTTGGGAGGCAGAACCAGGCAGATCTCTGTGAGTTTGAGACCAGCCTGGTCTACAGAGCCAGATCCAGGACAGGCTCCAAAACTACACAGAGAAACCCTGTCTCGAAAAACAAACAAACAAAAAAACCCAAAACAAAACAACAACAACAAAAACAAAAGCCAATGCTAACAGGCAGGGAATGGTCGTGATGCCTGGTTTGCAGGGTAATGAGCCCAATCCTTATTCTGCAGGCAATGAGGCATCATGAATGCATTTAGAATGCGCCAAGAGGGCTAGTGGTGCTTTGGGCAGGTCCCTCTGTTTGAAGGATGGACTTGAGGGCTATATGTGGAAAGTACTGTGTTTACATGAGTGATGATGACTCCAACAAGCTAGGAAGAGAGGAGAGGTGGTAGCAGAGACAGGGGGACCAAAGTGACTGGCTTTGTTGACTGATCAGATGGGATGGGTGAGAAGAGGAGGATGGTTAAAGGATGCTCCAGTGCATCCAGCCTGAGCAATTTCATTTCCTTCATCTTCCCACCCAGGGACAGAACCGAATGCCAGCAGCACCTCTGCAGCCTTTTACAGTGCCAGACCTCCAGCTTCCCCAGATGTGTGCGCACAACAAAGCCAAAGGCTTCCAAGGAAATCAAATAGCCTGACCGCGTCTTCATGTAGGATGACGGAAGTCAGAAATGAAGGCTGGCTCTCGGGTGACAAGCTAATCTCTTTTGTCCTTTTACCCCCTACCCCCATTTCCCACTTCATCTTACCTTGTCTGGAAATGCAGTCCTGTTGAGACAAGAAAGGCTGGAACAAGTGTGAATTACAGGGAGCTCTTCCCAGAGTTCTTTGCTTCAAGAGTTTCACAGTCCTCAAAGATGCAGGCAGGCAGCTCCATATCTGGTATTAAAAGAAAGCATTTATCAATGTGGGAAAACACACACACACACACACACACACACACACACACACACACACACTACATATATATGTATAATATACATATAATATATTATATATATTATACACACATGCACATACATGTTTGTCTCAGCAAAACTCACAGTATTAAAGAACAGGAAATAACCTCCATGTTAAAAAAATTCATACTTTGTAAAATTGGGACACATCTACACTTTCTTTGGGAACGTTTTAAAATAATGGGATGTAAGAATGCTTCTATTAGCCGGGCGGTGGTGGCGCACGCCTTTAATCCCAGCACTCGGGAGGCAGAGCCAGGCGGATCTCTGTGAGTTCGAGGCCAGCCTGGGCTACCAAGTGAGCTCCAGGAAAGGCGCAAAGCTACACAGAGAAACCCTGTCTCGAAAAACCAAAAAAAAAAAAAAAAAAAAAAAAGAATGCTTCTATTATTGTTAAGAAAAAGCAGAACATAAAAGTAAGCACTACTGTAAAGACAAATTTCATTTTATGAAAGTATAGAGGAAACTGAGGTGCTGTGGTCCTAGGTGTGATGGGATGCATTTGGAATCCCAGCACTCTGGAAGCCGAAGCAGGAGAAATTTGAGGTTTGCCTGGGTTACATAGCAAGCCGCTCTCTCTCAAAAACAAACAAAAGCATAGAATAAATCGGAAGAAATCTTATCAAAGAATTATGACATTGGGGTGATTTCTGTTTATTTTAATAAAAAACGATTGTGGAGCCGGGCGGTGGTGGCGCACGCCTTTAATCCCAGCACTCGGGAGGCAGAGCCAGGTGGATCTCTGTGAGTTTGAGGCCAGCCTGGGCTACCAAGTGAGCTCCAGGAAAGGCGCAAAGCTACACAGAGAAACCCTGTCTCGAAAAACCAAAAACAAACAAAACAAACAAACAAAAAAAAAAAAAAACGATTGTGTGTATGGGTGTTTTGCCTGCATGTTTATCTGTGGGCTTGCAGTGCTTGAGGAGGCCAGAAAGCGTCAGGTTGCCTGGAACTGGAGTGACAGCTGATTGGAGGGGTCCTCTGAAGAGTAGCTAGTGCTCTTAACTGCTGATTCATTTCTCTATTTTTTAACAAATCCATATAATAAATTTTTTCCTTTGGGATGTGAAGGAAGGGTCTCTCTCCCACCTCATGCAGCTCCACCTCTTAGGTCAACTCTAAGATGACAAAGGGAGGTTCTTGACACTGCCAGAACAGTGAACAAGTGCAGCTCATTTGGACTGCTGGGCCAGTTCTTCAGCAAAGCACAGTATCAACCTTGAGATGACAACAAAGTCTTCGGGCTTTATATCCAGTTCTCGAGCCCTCTGAGTAGTTACCAGGAAGATGCCAAGTGTGACCAGGAGAATGTGATTACTAACTGTGGTTAATCAGATTCTTAATAACTGGTCATTAGCCAAAACACATGAAAGAGACTGGAGAAATGATGTATTAAAATCTGCCGATTCCATCAATTATTAGCGAGACTTTTGGTAAGATTCCCTTAGTCATATGATACTATAGAAAAAGTTTTCAGCAAATGTTTAGGATGTAGGACAGGCTGGTCTTGGTGCTCCTTTCTATGTGATCAGAATGGAAAGGGGAGAAAACTAAATGCCAAAAGATCACCAGGGATGGGGGAGATACAGAATCAGGGCTGGTAGGTTAGGCAGGTCTGGGCCTGAGACAGTAATCTGTGTATGAGACTTGGTGGCTTCTGCCGAGAAGGTGGCGCATTTGACCTAGATACCTGTTAGGGAAGAGGAATCTTTGTAGAAATCAACATATAAAAGATAAGGAAGACAAGCTTCTCAATGCTGCAGAAGGGAATACAGATGAAGGGGGGGGGGGTAGCTAGAATTGCAATTATAGACTTCCTGTGAAATCATGGTTTACCAATTCAGCAGTACAGACATCGACTATGTGTAAGTATGGCATGGGTGGGCTTGGGGGTCTGTTTGGCAGGAGTGCCTGGAAACAGTGGCATCTTGATAATAGTGAGCACACCTCGTACCAGTTTGGTATTTAAGTGATATACTGAAAGGAACCAGAGTTCACTAGAGAAGTTTCTGGTTCATGGTTAACATAGAAAGCACAAGATAAGACAAATATCTTTTTGCACCTGAGAATAGGGAAGCTCTGAGGATTTTTGGGATGTGTTAAGGGCACCGGATCCAAACAAGCAGCTCACACTAACCAAATTTGGAACAATATCAGTAGTGGATTCTAAGTCAACAAATAAAATGTGACTGTGGCCTGTATTGACATGAAGAAGTAAATGAATATGTAAATGGGCGGATCCACAGTACAATGGCAGATTACAGTAGAATGCCAACTAGGTAAAGCAGAGAAAGCAATAGAATTAGAAACCAGAAACTGGTAACAGCCACTGTATGACAACCGAGGAAACAGTTTAAGTTTCGCTAGAGAAAGGATATATGCATAGCCCCAAAGTAGATCCCAACAGAACATGCTTTTTAAACTAATAACCCTCTGGGCAGCAGGGGCCCACACCTTTAATCCCAGCACTCAGGAGGCAGAGCCAGGCGGATCTCTGTGAGTTCAAGTCCAGCTTGGTCTACAGAGCAAGAATCAGGACAGGCTCCAAAACTACACGGAGAAACCCTGTCTCAAAAAACCAAAAATAAATAAATAAACAAACAAACAAACTAATAACCCAAAACACTTTTTATTCACTTAACAATGGAGAAACAAAATAATTAGTTGGCCAGTGAAGAGATGTGTAGACATTATGTGGTTCCATAAAAGTGAGTGATGGGTATATATGTGTGTGTGTGTGTGTGTGTGTGTGTGTGTAAACACACAGAGAGCTGAGAGATAGAGAGATAATCAGACAGACAGCAAGATAGACAGATAGATAGAATGGTAAAGTGCCATTAAGCGATCAATTTGGATCCTAGATGAAAAGTATGTAATTTTTTCAAACTCATGTTTTATAATTTTGAAAAAAATTTTTTCCAAAAATTTAAAGCAGAGCATTGTATGTTAAAATATATTTCTTAGAAAAATACCATTGGCTAGCTGGGCCATGGTGGCGCACGCCTTTAATCCCAGCACTCGGGAGGCAGAGCCAGGCGGATCTCTGTGAGCTCGAGGCCAGCCTGGACTACCAAGTGAGTCCCAGGAAAGGCGCAAAGCTACACAGAGAAACCCTGTCTCGAAAAACAAAACAAAACAAAAACAAAAAGAAAAAAGAAAAAAGAAAAATACCATTGACACAGTATGAGTGAGTAAATTGGCTAGAGGAGACAGTAAGCGTTTGAGATGAGAAACGCGATCCTGGCCACCACTAGGATCCAGATTTCGTTCTCGGTGAAGTTCTGCCCAGTGTCAGCACACTTCAAAGTAAAAAGACAATAAATACAGTGACCTCCAACAAAAGCCAGGAAGCGCCACCTAGTGGCAAGGAGATTTTTACCATCTGTAAGCAAGGGCACCGTCGAACTCAAACCGCGGGTTAATTTGGGCCCCTACTATCAGAGTGTCAGATTCCCGGGGTCACTCTAGCTTCAGCGAGCTTGATGAAGTCAGACTTATCAAATGTTATCATTTTAATAATTGCTGTCGAGTTTTGGTTTGTTTTGTTTTCTGGGAGGCTTTGAGATTTAGTGTTTATTTTTGTTTATACAAGAATATTTGGCAGAGGCTTTCTTGTGTGTTACATCAAGAAACAGAACTGGGTCAAGTGGTGGTGGTGCATGCCTTTAATCCTCCCAGCACTCCGGAGGCAGAGGCAGGTGGATCTCTGTGAGTTGGAGACCAGCCAGGTCTATAAAGAGAGTTCCAGGACAGCCAAGACTGTTACACAGAGAAACTCGGTCTCAAACAAAACAAAAAGAAACACAGAACTTCTGGGGTCAGTCAGTTCAAGTCTCTGACCTATTTTTTTCAATATAAAATTACCATGTTTCTTCTTTATAATGAAAAGGTAGCTGGCAGGTAGTTTATAAACATATCCTATTTTTCTACAGCTATTAAATGGCAGGTTTATAAAACTTACATAACAAAATATTATCAATATTAAATAAACTTATTTATAACAAACTAGATTTATATTATTTAATAAAATGAGTGTTTTGCCTGCATATATGTATGTGTACCACATGCATGCCTGGTGCCCACAGAGGTCAGAAGGAGGCATCAGGGCCCCTGGATCCGATGGTTGTGAATCACCACGTGGGTGCTGGGGAAAGAATCCAGGTTCATTGCAAGATCAGCAAGTGTTCTTAACCACCGAGCCATCTCTCTGGCCCCCTCAATATTTTATCTATTTAGAGAAGTACATTCTGAAGCAAAGACGGCAAAGTGCAAATGAAGTCGAATGAAGTAGAAAAGACCAGTTATGAGGCATTGATTTATTGATTTATTGAATGAGCCATTTAAAACTCTGCTTGTACCGCCTGCTTGCCAAGCATGACTTCACTCGTTACCTGGAGCAGCATGACCCGGAGAAACAGCTGCAACGATGGGCCATTGCCATTAACCACACGCTGAGTGCCACATACGCTTCTACAAGATCTCGCTTGCTTGTTCAAACCAGTGAGCAGCTCCCCTCCATGGCCTCTGCATCAGCTCCTGCCTCCGGGATCCTGCCCTGTGTGAGTTCCTGACTTCCTGCAGAGATGAACAGCAATGCTGAAGTGTACGCCAAATCAACTCTTTCCTCCCCAACTTGCTTTTTGGTCATGGTGTCTCATGACAGCAATAGAAACCCTAATTGAGACAGGGTTGTTCTGCCTCCCCAAAGGGTCGTGACCCACACGTTGAGAACCTCTGTTTTGGACTGTAAAATGGGAGCACAAACTGGACCTGATACTGAGGCCTTGCAGGAGTTATCCTGGCTTCAGTTTAGTGCTTATTCCAGAAAGAGTCCCAAAACATAAGCGCTATTTAAATAGAGATGGTGGGGCTGGAGAGATGGTCCAGTGGTTAACCAGCACTTGCTGCTCTTCCACAGAACCGAGGTTCGAGTCCCAGCACCTACACAATAGTTCACAACTATGCTACTCCAGGTCCAGGAATCCAATGCCTTCACCTGTCCTCTGCGGGTATCACCCACGTAGTGCACAGACATACATGTAGGCAAAACACCCATACACATTGGATAATAAAATTAAAAAAAAAAATGACATGGTAAAGACAGGTCTTAGTGGTGCATGCCTTTAATCCCAGCACTTGGGAGGCAGACAGAATTCTAGAATTCTGTGAACTACAGGCCAGCCTGGGCTACATAGCAGGACCATATCTAAAAAGAAAAAAAAAAAAAAGGAAAGAAAAAAATTGAGATGGTAGGTCAATGCTTGGGATATGTTCTATAGATTTGAAATATTTGGTAATTAAAATAAATTTTAGGTTATTAATAAAGAAAATACTCAAATCACTAGAGGAAGCATTGATGTTTACTACGGTGCTGGGCATTGAACCCAGGGCCTCACACATGCCACACAAGTACTCTGGCATGGGGCTAAATCCCCACTTCCTAGTGTAGCAGTAGACTGAGTCACTTGGCATCTGCGATGGGATAGAGACATTTATCTGTTTGAATTTATTGTATGTGTTTGCATCCTAATCCGAGACCTGGGCCCAGGCCCTTAGTGTTACAGGATTCACACAGTTCCGATTCACAACCCAGAGCAGCATGTTGACATAGACAGAGACTTTGCGCAAGTGGCGAAATAAACAAACCCTTACTGACCTGTGTACGAGGAGAGAAAGCTTGGAAAGCCATTTCAAATCACACTGTCACTCCGCATCGAGGAATCGGGAAGATGGGCACCCAGCCAAGAGAATCGTGGAAACAGGTGTTCCATGGGTTTAATTGGAGCTCACTGTCACATCAGAAAGTTATCCTAGGGACAAAATTAACTTTTGATGCACCTGAGCCTCACAGATTGCACCTGTGTGTCTTGCTTTTTATGTCTTCTAGCAATTTGAGTGTTTTCTCTCTTAGTAGCCTGAGATTGTTTTCACCATTAACTATTTCAAATATACAGAAAATGGTATTGCCTGTCATATGAATTTAAATGACATTGATATCTTTGCCATTGTGGTGGTTTGAAAGAAAATGGTTCCCATAGGGAGTGGCACTATTAGGAGGTGTGGCCTTGTTGAAGTAGGTGTGGCCTTGTTGGAGGAAGTGTTGTCACTGTGGGGGTGGGCTTCGAAGTCTCCTATGCTCAAGCTATACCCAGTGTCACAGGTCACTTCCTGCTGCCTGTGGATCAGGATGTAGAACTCTCAGCTCCTTCTCCAGCACCATGTCTGCCTGCATGCCACCCACTGTGAAGATAATGGACTAAACTGAATTGTAAGGTAGCACAATTAATGTTTTCCTCTGTAAGAGTTGCCTTGGTCATGGTGTCTCTTCACAGGGATAGAAACCCTAAGACAGCCATCTTTGCCTCATTATTTTTTTCCTAAATAAATATGGATATATATATATATATATATATATATATATATATTATATAAATGTTATGAATACATCTAAAGCCAAGCTTTCATCTGAGAGTCATTCCAATTAATGTATCACTACATGGGTCTATGCTTTGATCATATATGTGTGTGTAAATATTATATTGAATATATAAAGTTATATATACATTTTATCATGTTTAATATAGTCTGTTAGGATTTATTTTCATTTTGACTTAATATTTTTGAAATCTGTCCTATGGGATACATGTACATAGGATTTACTCATTTTAACTATGGAATTCATTGTATGAACAATTTATATTTCCAAGAGATGGAGAATTAGTGGTTTTTTTTTTCCTTTTCTTTCTTTTTTTGAGACAGGGCTTCTCTGTGTAGCCTTGGCTGCCCTGGAACTCATTCTGTAAACCAGGCTGGCCTTGAACTCAGAGATCCACCTGCCTCTGCCTCCCGAGTGCTAGGATTAAAGGCATGCACCCCTGCTACCCAGTGAGAATTAGTGTTTTACTAAACTTTTAGATATATTTTTATTTTGTTATGTGTGTTGGGTGTGTGGGTATGTGCCATGGCATGCTTGTGGAGACCAGAGGACAAGTTGCAGGAGTTGGTTCTCTCCTTCTACCGTATGGGTCCTAGGGATCAAACTCAGGTCGTCAGACTTGGCGGCAAGCCTCGTTACCTGCTGAGCCATATCTATAGTCCCAGCGTGCTTTTGTATTATTCCTGCTTTCTCGTTGTTGTGATGTAGTTAAACACTCCCTGTCTGTTCTTCCTTTTGCCTATGTGGGCAAGTTTCTCTGCAGTAAAATTGCTGAGTCCCTAAAGGACACAAGGACACCTTCTGCTTTAGGAGGAGTAACCGACTGTCTTCCCAATGGCTGTCTCTATTGATATTCCCCACAGAAAGCCACGCCCTCTCCTAGGCCAGTATTGAAAGACTTACCAGTTGGAAGGATGTCAAGCATTATCTCTTTACTGCTTCAATTTGTAATTTGCATTTGTAATTACTGGCAGGCAGAACTTGCCTTTGCATATTTTTACTGTTGGATTTTCTTTTGAAATGCATCTGTTTATGTTCTTGGCTCATTTTTATAGGCGTTTATTATTTTCTCTTTTATCTGTGTGACATCTATTTATTATAGATTTTACCATTTTGGTTTTTTTCCCCCTGGGCCTTATGAACACTTTCTCTCATATATTATTTGGTGACCTTAGCGTGTGTTTGAAAACAGAATTTTTGAATGCAATGCAATGTGATGTAAATGATGGCCCACTTCGTTTAGTTTGTTTTGTTTCTTGAAGGCCAGACAGGCAGCCCTCCTGAGAGAAAGCACCTATTCCGCCAGCCTGTCCGTTTTTTGGTTTTCTGTCCCTACTGATGCTCATGGGAACACAAAATACTAGGTGGAGTCTTAAAAATTAAACCTAAGTGGCGGTGGTAGTACACATCTTTAATCTCAGCACTTGGGAGGCAGAGGCAGGCCGATCTCTGTGAGTTCAAGGTCTACAGAGTGAGTTCTACAACAGCCAGGACCTGTCTATAGAGAAACCACGTCTCAGAGAACAAAAACAAAACAAAACAAAACAAAAAAAGTGCAGACTAGGCAAATATTTTCCCTGACCAAATGAAAGTTCACCCCATATCAAGGTTTCAGCGTTTGCCTTGTTTTGTTTGGAGAGAGCAGAGGCTGAACTAGGTAGAATGTTTTTTTCCATGCTTAAAATAATTGCTGCTATTCACATTTGTTCTTAGGACTGGCGGGTGTGGTGTTTGCTTAGCATGTGTGAGGTCTTGACTTCCGCCCCTACTATCACCCTAAAAGCGAAGGTGGCGGGAGAGAAGGAAAAAGAGAATAATACGGGGAAAGAGATATTTAAAATATGTTTTGGATGGAAATGGGGAATATTAATTACCTACAGAGAGATAGTAAGTGGTGAGTCACATTATTGGGAGAATTTGCCAGGGTATACGTTTTGGATGGAAATGGGGAATATTAGTCACCTACAGAGAGATAGTAAGTGGCGAGCCACACTGTTGGGAGAATTTGCCAGGGCATTTCTCACAGCAGGCTGCTGGCTGTGCGGATGCCAGCTGGGATTTGTAACACCTGATGCCTCACACGTGGCCATATGTTTAGAAACTGCTTTCTTGGAAGGATGGTGGCTACTTTTTGTATGCAACACGAAAGAGTTCACACCTAACCCCACTTCGCTGAATGCTTGAACAATAGGATTCATAGAAAGCTGACGTCATCCTTACTGACCGGTTCCCACGGAGAAGAAAAAGCAGTACAGGCAATTCTTTTAATAACTGTGAGGGCAGGAAAAGATAGTCTGCTTTCCCCATAAGACTATGTAGCTGAATCAACTGGAGCTTGAAAGTCATCTATGAATTTAACATTATGCTCATTATGCAAACTGTTTTAAAGCAAAATTAAGAAGCAGCCTATTAGTCATCGGTAATACTAACCATGTGCCCTTCATCTCTGATGCTCTTCCCATGTGTGCTGTTACTCATTTTAACCAAAGACGAGGTAATAAAGCCCATCTGTTTTATAAATACAGTTTCCTGTGCCATTTTTGCTGTCACATTTTACTGTATCTTCTAAAGCATCGTTATATGAAAAAAGCATGGCTCATGGGTCAAGACCTCTGCGGCCAAGCTTGATGACCTGAGTTGGATTTTGGAACTCACATGGCACGATGCAGAGAGAATGGCCCCCACAAGTTATTCTCTGACCTCCACATGTGTGCTCCCCAATCTCAACAAATAAATAATTAATACAAGTAAACAGTTAAAAAACCAAGCAAAAGCTTGTGTAATGTATCCATGTAAAGCATTTTCACTATCATTTTCACTCATACAAATAAGGGGTCATACCTGTCAGGCTTACCAATGTTTTCAATATCCGGTGGGATCCATTAGCACCTGTCTATTAGAGTGTTGTTCAGTAGACACAGATATTTACACTATAATTCATAACTATTCATAACCACCATATGATAAGAAACCACTAACACGAGAGTTTCTAGCACCATGCAATGAAATGAATTTTAAAACTCACCCATGAATTGTGTCCAAATGAATTCAAGTGAATACTTTCACAAACTCCCATGCCAAAGAGAGTGAGTACAAGGTATCTATATCTATATATTTATATCTATATATTCCATTCAAACATGCACGTATATATTTGACTAGAATTGTTCTCACATTCATGCTATAAATATTTTAGAAATTGTTATTCTTATAATGTATATAGTTTGCAACTGTGAGTTAGCAAATATTTAGGTAAATTCATGGATAATTGAGTTGAGGCAGAAAAGTACTATTTCAGAGAACACTGTTCCGTAGACTAGATTCATTACCCTACACAGCATAATCCCCTGACTGCAAATGGAATTTATTATTTTAAATTGCCCTTACATTCACTCCTGCAATACATATTTTAGTACCTACTTGGGGCAGATGTTTAAAGATGTTTAGTGTTTTTTTTTTTTTTTTTAATTCTACAAGCTGGCAATTCTCAACCTGTGGGTCACGACCCCTACGAGGTTCAAATGACCCTTCCAAAGGGGGTCACCTAAGACCATCAGAAAACACAGATATTTACACTATAATTCATAACTAGCAAAATTACAGTTATGATGTAGCAACGGAAATAATTTTGTGGTCGGGAGGTCACCACAACACGAGGAACTGTATTAAAGGGTCGCGGCATTAGGAAGGTTGAGAACCACTGCTTATACGCCATCCGCTGTTGTCAGTTTTATAGACTATAATAGCAAACCCTGGGAATTCTGTGGCATTTAAATTTCACAAGGACATAGACACACTCACTCTTTGATATACGTATATATATAAACTATGGTTGATAAATGACCTGAGGGGCCCAGAAATGAGAATGCTGGGGATTGGGGCGTCCTTCTGTTTGAGTAGGAGACAGTGTACTCAGACTTACTTTTGAAGGAGGTCTCCGGATGCTGGGTAGCCAGATTCCTCAGCACCGCTTC